CTGAAGAACAAAATGACAGCAACTTGTCTGTTCCCCTTTCCCCAATTCCCCAGCGCTGTTCCCATCCCCCCAATTCCCCAATAAAAATCTTAAAACAACAACAACAACAACAAAAACAAAACCCTTCTGTAAGTTGGTGACTGTCGTGTATAAAATCACTACCTCATATTTAAAAAAATTATCCTGAGCCTATTTTCACTAACACTACCCCTCATTCAGGCATTATGAGGCCCTTCACAACCTCGCACCTCCTACCCTTTCCTGCCCCATCTCCTGACTTTTCTTCCTTACATTTTTCAAATGTTCAGTAGTACTGAACCACCAAAAATGCATACATGCTTTTACACCTGAAAAAATATAACTGGCTCTTCAAAATTCAGCTCAGACATCACTTCCTCAGCGAAGCCTTCTCTGTCCCTCCTTGCTTATACCTTGAACACAGTGGTTGCACTGTTGTTGCTGCAATTTATTTATGCATATGCCTGCCTTTCCTTTCAATGACAAGCACATTGAGAATAGGAGGGTTCATGTCTTAATCATTTCTGTATTCTTAACATCTGTCTATGATGATCTTTGGCACATTAGAGTTGCTTAATAAGGTTTCTGCAATTAAATGAATACTTTGCTTAGTCCTAAATTACAAGTTCATGATAAACTTTTATACATGTTAATAAACCAGTATCTTGAAAAATTTTTTTCTACATGTAAAAGTTGTGCTTGATTCTTTAAGTTCCAATCCCTTTGTCCAAGTTAAATAAGTCATCTAGAATCATTAACTTGACTTCCTTGCCTATAGCTTGTGACAACCACTTCTCACTCCATGTGCTGTCAGGAATTTGGTCCTCATCTTAGAGAACAGTTGAAGCCAGAGATCACAAAATGGCTGCTCAGACTTTTGATTTTCTATTTCATTTTTTTGTAAATTAGTTGTCAACAAGCAAAGTTGAAACATTCTAGCATCTATTGAAAACAGTGGAAAATATGACAACAGTGGGTCCTTAATTCCCATGGTGACAACAGTGTGAAGGACCTGAGTAGCCAGTTGCTACCTCTCACATGGCACATCTCTACTCGCCCATTCGCTAGCCCACATTACTGCCTGTTGATACCTGAGTATCAGTTATCATTTATAATTCTTCTTATGCTGTTGCTTTTCTCACCCCTGCCCTTTTAGTTATCCTACAGCCATTCAAGTTTGTGAACCCTGGTTTTTACCATTACATCCCCATACCCTAATTTGTTGCAGCATCACCATCTCGTGCAGAAAATGGCTTAGAACACCTGTGCCACCTTAAATGCACTCTGTGTCTCCCACTAGTATGGGCAAATGCCTGATTCATTTAATAGTAATAATCATCCCCACACTAGGCACTTCATAATGGGTCAGGGGTATAGATGATAAAACTAAATAAGACAGACTTCTTTTTTCCTTCCTTTAAGGAGTTCACAATGTTTTGCATTTTCACCATGCTGTATACCTTTCAAAGAACTTTAATATGCATTAGTTCGTTCTGCTTAAAAACTGTGTGTGTATGTGGGGGTGCGGGGAGGAGGAAGGGTGAATCCAGGGTAATTATATTCCTGGCTTTAACATTAAGAGCATTGCCTGGAGGTACATTTGATATTTCCTGAAGTTTTATAAATGCCAGGCACTATTCAGTGTTCTAAGAAACAACCAGGAATAGAAAGAGTGCTTGCTCCTACATTTCTGGAGCTTACAGTCTAATGAGGGAGGCAAATGATCCAGCACTTAATTCAGAGAATAACACCAGGAAGGCTATGAAACTGAATAATGCGACAGAAAGTGGGGAAGATAGCCCTGGTTGGGCAGAGATGGTCTCCATGAGGAGGCGACTGCTAAACTGAGCCCTGCTGGCAGGAGCTGGCCCCAGGACAACTTGAAGGAAGCTCAGAAGGACGTGCAAGCGACGAGGCTACCCCCAACTCCGGGCCGCGATCTTTCTCCCTCGGCCTGTCCCTGCAGTTAAGACAAGGCTTTCAACGCCTGCGTTTCCCCGTCACTATTACTTACAGAGTGCTGCCCCGGCCTTGAAGCAAGGCCCTGGTCGCTCCACAGGGGCTGCCCGCGACCCGGCCTGGTGACCCTTCGGACGCTCCAGTGTTGGGAGGGCTCAGGGTCGGCGGGAAGCAGGGGTGTGGGGTGGGGCTGACTGATCAGCACTGCCTAATATGGGTCTGGGCGGCCCAGCGGTATATAAATAGAGGCTCAAAACGGGCTTGAGACCAGGGCCGCGCTCTGCGGAGAGGGGGAGCGCGCTGGCAGCTCCGCTGAGGTGACAGGTGCTAGCAGCTCTTGGCACCTCGGGCTGGGGTGGGGGTGTGAGAACCTTGCAGTCCAGGCTCCGCGAACCGCTCTGGGTCTTTGCAAGGCCTTCCCGTGCTGATTCCAGACTGAGGCCCTCCCTCCAGTTTCCGCGTTCTGCACCTGCCAGAGTCTTCCCATGCTGTCCCCCCACCCCCCACCCCCACAACACCATCACTGAAGGTCGGCCAGGAGGGGCGAGGATGCTTTTTTTTTTTTTTTTAAATCTGGAAATGGGATTTTAAAAAATGACAAATCTATCCGTTTAATCTTTTTTTAAAATGCAAAACGACCCAAAACCCTGTGTGTGGTGTCATTGAATGTGGCCCTGTAATAGGGTTGCCAGATAAAATACCAGTAGGAAGTTAAATGTAAAATTTGGGTAAACAACCAATATTTTTTTTTAGTATATATCCCAAACATTGCATGGTCAATTCACATTTAACTGGTTGTGGCTCTTTTGTTTGTCTTGTGTTCTGTATTTTCATTTGTAATGTCTGGCAACTCTACTTGGGAGCCATCAGCTCCATGACCTTTGCCCTCAAGTAGAAGGTTTCCTGGAAGCCTGAGACAGGAATGGTTAGCTATGCTGTTTGGGTTGGTGCAGGGAACCAATGATTTTCCTGAGGGAAGTGTCACAGAATATCTAGCGTTGACCTTAAACAGACAGACAACCAGCTGTTTCTCCAGCAATATGAATTTATTCGGGAACAACAACAAATTGCAATTGAGGACACTTAGCCTAATGGCAATCCATTTGCAAGTCCAAAGAAGAGGACCATTCTTTAATGGGGGGGGGGTGCAGTAAAGAAGGGCTGTTGTAAACAGAGTCAATTGGAGGAATTGAGAGTTAGAAGTGTAGTGATTTTTCATTGGCTGAGTTGAGCGTTGGTGAAGGTAAGATCCTCTTTCTTCCTGCTGGAGTAGTAGAGTAGAAAAAGATCTTCCTGTTGGAGATGGAAAGTACTATCTTCCAGTTTAGGGTAATTAAGGATAAGTCATAGGGCATGAGAGCTCCCCCTACAGACCCTCCCAACTCCAATTTAAATGAGGTTTCTATTTACTAATCTTTGTGCTTCTATGTGGGTAAGACAGTAGTATTAGGTCAGCTAGTTTAAAACAAAACAAAATTTGTGTTTGGTGGTGGCAACACATTTTTTTTTAATCTTATACAAATTTCTTATAGTTCTGGAAGGCAGAAGCCTAAAATGGATCTCGCTGGGCTAAAATCAATGTGTCCCAGGGCTGCATTCATCTCTGGAGACTCTAGGGGAGAATCTGTTTCCTTGCCCTTTCTAGCTTCTATTAACTTTCATTATTCTCTAACTCATGCCCCTTCCTCCATCTTTAAAGCCAGAAAGAGTTTTTCTTACATTGCATCGCATTGACATTAACTGTTCTTTTGCTTCCCTCTTCCAAGTATTTTTTTTATTTCTTTTTCTTTTTTTTAAATTTTTTTATTGGGGAATTGGGGGGATGGGAACAGTGCTGGGGAATTGGGGGAAGGGGAACAGACAAGTTGCTGTCGTTTTGTTCTTCAGTCTA